TACTTTATGTTAGTCTGCCTCTTTCAAGGTCACTGGAAGCCACTGTGTGCCAGTCCTGGTGCTCCATGGAAATCAGATACCACTGCCAGATCACTCAAAATCAAAGTCTCGCTTGGCTCCCATTGAAGAGGACAGTTTAGGCTAGTTACTCACAAAAAAACCAATCTATTGCTACTTTATCGCTTAGAGTTACAAAACGGTTTTCTAGAGATCTCCTAGAAAACCGGTCACTGAGATGTACTTTCAACTTTATTTTCGTTATAAAAGATACTTTAAAGTCTTGGCTATCTAACCGCAAAAATCAGAAGTCTCTATCGTTTTTTCACTATCGTTTCTATCACACAGTGGCTTCCGGTGACCTTGAAAGAGGCAGACTAACATAAAGTAAGATAAAATAAACGCTACCATCAGATTTAGCATGCTCAACTATGTACTTATCTTCTTCTTTCAAGGTCACTGGAAGCCACTGTGTGCCAGTTGCCACTGTTGCCAACGGTTTTCTAGCGATCTCCTAGAAAACCGGTCACTGAGATGTACTTTCAACTTTATTTTAGTTATAAAAAGATAATTTAAAGTCTTGGCTATCTAACCGCAAAAATCAGAAGTCGATTGAAGGCCCCAGTATACGTGTTACATATATAGGTGCTGTGGCTACAAAATAAAAAGATGAATAATTCGACCGTCGATATATCGAGTAATATATTGCGCAAGCTAGATATATTGGGTATGGTATTGGGCTGTCTAGGTATATTGACTACTGTATTGGGATTAGCTAGATAGGATTACCTCATACTCAATACCTTTTATTCGCTTGGGAGATGCATAGGTCGATATATTGGTCTGTAACAGACCAATATATCGGGGACTGTAGCTCCCTACACCAGCCTTTTTTTGCATCCCAATATATTGAGACGATATCGGGATGCATTAGATACCATGCCCAATATATCTGGATGACTTCATAGTAGGATTGCCCAATATCACAACAAAATATCTAGATACTTCACAAGATTTCTTACTTGAACATGTGGTAAATCTAACATCCAGATATATCGGGTAAAATATAGGGTTATCTAGGTATATCGACTAGTGTATTGGGTTAGCTGTCTTGGATTGCCCAATACTCAATACTTTCTTTTTACTTGTATCTAGGTATATTGGGTATTGGATTGGGTTATCTAGATAGGATTGTCCAATACTCGATACTTTTTATTGGCTTAGGCAATTAAGAAATTATGATAAAAAAGAGCGGCGTCATCAAACTTGCGAGAGGAATTTTCTGGACTTTGATTCAGTCAGCATTTGATTCGGTCAGTCATCGTGCGTTGATTTACAAATTAAGACAAAAAGGTGTGAGTGAACAATTGGTTAAATGGATAGAAAACTATCTAAAAGATAGTTCTGTAAACCATTTGAAAATATTATACAATTTAGTAGAATCCAGCAACTGACATCTGTGCTGTCAAATATGAAATTATCAGTCAAGAGGGGTAAGCTAAAGAGTTTATTAGCATGGTTAAGGATTCCAGTGGCACATAGGCATAATTATTTTTCACTTATTTAACTAAAATTGCTTAATAGTTTAAGGGGTAGTTTTTACTGGATCCAGCCTTCACCATCGTTAATTGAGAGATTTAAGTTGTAGAGCGTGTCGTCGTACGGCGAAAAGTTTCGAGCACCTTCTACAAGAGTACTCAAGAAACTTTCACATCCTCTCAGTATTTTTTAAATATTGATTATCGATTACAAAAGTTTTTATATAGTAGGTTACAGATTACCAACAAGTCTTAACATGTAGATCTCTAGTACATAGGAGCTAATCGCTCAAAATGAAGCAAATAGTATTTTATATGTATATTTAATTATATATGCAGCAGCTTGTTGATGATTAACACAGAGACACAAAAAAGAATGGTAAAACGAAATGAGCTTTATCAAATAAAAAACAATGTTAGACTCTTTAAGCTTTCGTTGAATTTTTAGTTAGAGAATTCCAACAGGAACATAACACTCATCCACAAGCATATATTTTTTTCTTATCTTGACATATGTTATAAGAAGTGTTTGAATGAATAATAAAAAAGGAGTATTAAAACTAACAGAAAACAATAAAATTTTCAAATAGTTTTATTTATCGCGTACAGCCACACTTGTTTTTCTTCCTTCGTGTTTTCCAGCTTCAACAGATACGCTCGGCTTATCGTATAAATATTCCATACCATCCACGCACACAGTTTTGCTTTTTCATTTTTATATTTTGCGAGATTATTCTCTTTGCTCGCTTTGATTTTGTACTCCCAGAAATATTTCGAATGTTTCACGATTCCGTTTGTTTCAGATAAACAACGAAGCTTATCGATGCGAACACATGAATATTTTACTTTATTATCATCCATTATATTATTTGTGGCTCCTCATCATCACAATGCCATAGGTAAGCCTACAAGACACTTAGCATCTATTTTTCATTTTCGACAAATTTTCAAACTCCTTCATCATCGAAAATCCGACATATTTTCGACTTCGCCTGCAGTGTTGGAAATACGACTCTTATATGACTAACCTTTAGTGAGGAAAATTTTGAAGAAGAGATCGGACAAATACAAATCCTTTAGAGCTTTTAATACATCATCTTATTAAGGTCACTGTACACATGTTATATTGTAAAAGCCCTACCATTATCACATCTTACTGAATTACTAAGGTCATCTATCACTCTAATATTGTAAACTAGCAAAGCTACATAGCGAAAGTTGAGATTTGTCATAAGTCCTGTAAAAGCCACTTTTACTTAAGATCTTTTTTCCCAGCTGTTTTTGAATGTCGAGATCTTTTTTCTCAGCTGTTTTGAATGTCAAATAGATAGAGTCCTCTAAAATACGATATACTAAAAATTTGAATCGGCTTTGTCAAAGTTTTGAGGCTTCTGCATAATTTTTGACTCGGTGCAAAGCTCCCACTCTTTTTGTACGATGGTTTTTCGTTATCCTTTTTTTCTACATAATATACGCAACGGAACGAAAAAGAGTCAGTGAAATCAATTCACATTCTATATTTTTCCATTTACGGCATTTATATAGGCTGTCCAGATGTTCTAAATCGAAACGTATGGACTGCTACGGAACCATTAGCTCGAGAAAACTTACCAGTGCCAGTTCAATATATTGTCGTGCATGAATTAACTGGTTTAAATAGAAGTATGACACAACACGATTGTACACGGTATATAAATGCACTTCAAAGTTGTAATATGAATCAAAATGGTTATGATGATATTGTATTTAATTTTATTATTTGTGGTGGTGATGAAAATGATAACGGTAGTCAGCAACAAATTTATACTGGGAGAGGATGGAAAACTATCGGAGCACATTGTATTACATATAATAGTCGCTCATTAGGTAATTAAATGCGAGGGAGTAAATTTTTTCTAAGACTTCTGTCATTTGTTCAGGTATTGCAACTGTTCGTAATTATACGAATAAGAAATCTTTAAATGCATTCAAATCATTAATGGAATGTGGTATAACAAATAAATTCATTGAACAAAATTATTCACTCGTAGGACATTATGCATCTTCAAATATTTATAAATTTTATTTGGAATATTTCAAAAATACTACGCAAACAAAATATATGTGCCAATCAAGGCCATCTAATAGCAACACAATTGCTGCAAATCCAAAAGAAGTTGAATAGATTATTGCTTTTGTGCCGAAGAAAACATTCATTCTGTTCTAACATTTTTTTATTTGTATTGTACGTGGATCCTGCGATAACTGTTTTGTTTGTCTGCGAACCTGTTGTACGATGTGCATGGAATGATTTATACCCTTGTTTGTTACATTATGTATTATAGAAGAAAAGTTCAGAATTGAAGAGGCTAGTGCCTTTAGGTTCCGAACACAATTGTTAGCGGAACGGAGCACAGTACCCTTCTGAGATCGAATGGAGGCGCAAAAAATATTCACCTATCCCGCACCTTAGTCCGCTGAAACCTTTCTGCTCTATTCGACAAATACATACTGAGACCCACCTTGGAAAAGCTTTTATATGCATATGAAGGAAAACGCCGCAGATACCTTCACTATTGTTACTGTTAATGATATCCACACTATAAATATGCTCGTAAGATCCCATGTCTCGGATGATTAGATAATATGTTATGGATAAAATAATAAATGAGCTCGGAAAAAAGAGATATTTGAGCTCAGTGTGTTTAATTGATTTTAAAATGAGAGAAATGAGCTCAGTTGTAATAAAATTATACTTTTTTATATAAATGAGAGTTCTGAGTGCGAAAATTTTTTAACCTAATGAAAAAGAGATATCTGACCTCGGAAATTAATTTATACTCTGAAAAGATACAAATGAGCTCGATAATCTTATTTTCGTCGGTAAAAAGCGAGAAATGAGCTCGGTAATTAATTTGTGAAAATTGATTAATGATTTTATCAACTGAATGAACATTTTCTACAACATACTTTTCCATTTTTCATTGTTAAATCTTTGCTTGGAGCCAAGCTAGGCTTAGCAGGCTTGAAACCAAGCTAGCAATTGTGGGCAGACGCCTTTGCGCTTCAATTTGTAGAATAATCTCTTTTGCCAAACTTTATCAAATGCTTTCTGAAAATCAAGAAATAGTCCGGATGCTCTTATCATTTTCTTTGTCTTCATATATAGAGTGGACTAGGTCAACGAACTGGTTAATTGTTGAATCGCCCTTAGAATTAAGAAAAAGTACAGAAATTGGTGCTTGGGTTATTGAATGACTCTAGTTATAATTAGGTGAGCATATTAGTTCTAAGTGATTTTCCTCAGCAGTAGATAACTTGAGTGGTAGCAGTTCTCCGGTTGTGCTGACTTCAGTTTGACCAGAGCATATTTGTGTCTGGAGTTCCAAAAACTAGTTTCCAAAACTTTGTCTGATCTTACGAGCGTCGCATCTCATGATCTAAGTAAGATTTAAACAAGACAAAGTGGCAAACCGCGGTTCCGGAGCCCACAATCGCGGTTTGTCACTTTGTCGTATTGAAAGCGAGTGATTTTAGCTCACGCCACACAGTTGGCATCCAGGCGGAAATTAGGTGAAAAATCGAAGTTGCTCCTAATTCAAATACAAATAGTGGAAAATGTAGCCCTTTCAAAGGGCTATCGAATGGTATATAAATGTCTATTTTGAAAATGGTTCCTACGACGAGAAATCACGGTACACAAAACCGATTACGGATATCGTTACTACATACGAAATAAAGATTCTTTGCTTACTCAATTATGGTACGCGATTTCAAAGCAGATATTCAGAACCAGCACGTCTTCAGCTATCTATTGATAACAAAATATTTCTATTTCGGTACCAAATTCAATAAGTAAGAGCGACATGTTCTCCATCACGTCAGTCTGTAGTAACAGTACTCCAGTATAGTCGGGTCGCCCTCGTTAGCCCCACGCGAAAATAACATTCAAACACATCAAAATGTTCCTCAAACGCTACTCTATGTATTCTAAAATCGCAAAATCTCGCATATTTTCCAAGGAGATTTTATGGATTTTCCAAAATCCCAAGGGGTTTCCGCATATTTCACATTTTTCTCTCTCACCAAAGCACTTTTTCGTACAAATAATGCCATATTCGGAATCACCGTGAAAAACTGCAAATTTTGCTTAGGAATTTGGATATTTATTTTACCAATAGTACACAAGTCTATAAACACATTTTTTATAGGTTTTCGAATATGATCTTTCGAATAGTGAGGTTCTCGAAATGCAAAAGTATTTTTTATGGGTTTTCCAAAGATCCGGTCTCCAGAAAATCTACAAGGAATTAGTTTTGGGTACTGAAAATATCATCATTAGAAAGAGCATATTTGAAAACCTATAGAAGAACGTGTTTATAGGCTTTCATACCACTCCTACAGCATATGTCCGCCTGCTCTATAGAAAAATGCCCACTGTGCGCCACTAATACTATATTCTTCAGATTCGAAAGAGTTTGCTTCTACTTTTTCGCAGCTTACGCGGAAGTTTTCCAGAAGCCTCGGAAAACTGGGTCTTCCAATAATAGCTTATTCCTGACATTTTTTTAGCCATATATACTACAGTTTTATTTTGAGAAAGCTGTAGTTAGCGTTGATGAGGTATACTTGTGCGCAACTTCTTTTACATGGGTCCTCTAGAACTAGCAAACCCATCGACTCTTCTTAGATGAGAGATTAAGCCAGTATTATTATGTCGTTATATTGGCCATAACAGCACGAAAAAAGTTATCCGTTCTTGAGATTTCGTTGCGTTCTTAAGACATTGCATTTTTCGTGCGTCTATCGGATTTCGTCTAAAATGACCGCGAAAACGTTTGAAAATATTTGTGTTAAATTCTACTATAGAAGGAAATTGTCCGTGTAGCCGTAATCTTTTCGTCTCGCCTTTCTTTTAACAAAATGAAAACACACTATTAACAAAGCTGTAAAAAGATATATTTGTCTGCCATTATTTCCTTTCATTTACTATAAAATGAATTTTATTTTGTTGAACTGTTACTGCCTCCTGAGAATCTATCTCTCGAGCTGAGAACATTCCTACTTGTAATCCACGAATTCCTAACCCTTTCTTTATCTCGTCTTAGATTAACTGTCAATTCATCAATAATTTTTAATCGATTAACTAACGAGGAAAGTACCCCAACTGATAAATCGCTTTTTCAACGAAACCGAGTGGACTATAGGTAGTCGACGATGTTGATTCCGAATATCACCATGAATGCTGCTGCTAGGCCTTCAAAGACCGGTCTTCTGGAAAACCAGTTT